AGAGAGCCAGCACTATTCCTGGCCTGGTGTAAGCTCTTAGTACTCTCCTCTGATGCTTTTGGATAATCCTTTCCCTGGCCCCAAGTAAGTTCCTCACAAGCAAGCACTTATAAATACTCTGAAGAATGCTTGAGGGAGAGTCTCTGCAAATCTCTAGTGTTCTCTCTGTGCTAGAGGTTGGCAACTTTTTCTGTAAAGGGTCAGATAGAAATATCTTAGACGTGGCAGGTCACATACAAATTCTGTCACACATTTTTCTCCTGTTTTTTTTTTTTCTTTACATTCTTTAAACATGTAAAGACCATCCTTAGCGCATGGGCTATAAGAAAACAGGCTGTGGGCTGGATTTGGTACCCAGGGTATAGTTGTTCAATCTCTGATCACACAACTGTCTCCTAGCTGTTACTCTGCCCTATGAATTCTAGCCACTTTGATTTCCCAGGACTCTCAGCTTCTTCTCCTCAATCAAGGAGTCTGCCAGGTACCTCCTGGCTTCACCTTCTCTATGCTGTGTCTTGGAAACACTCTCAAGGCAGTAAGAAAGACAATTGTTGGGTTTTCCTCATTTCTTGATTCTATCTCAGGCATTTCTGTTCTGAGTTGCCTGATTTCCAATGCTTTAAAAACCATTGTTTCATATATTTTGTCCTGTTTTTAATTGCTTCAAGATGGAGGATAAATCTGGTCTCTTGTACTCCACCTTTATTGGAAGTGAAATTCTAGCATTTTTATGCTATGTATTTTTTATGTATTTTTGTTAATGATTCTTCTATAAATGGATGTCAATAATCAAAATACATAAAGATTTAAGAGCTTCTAAAGGTCACCTTTAAGTTACTTTATCAAACTGCAAGTTTAGCCCAGGAGTAGCAAGTCCCATTAATCTCCCATGTTTTTTGCTTTGTTTTGCTTGTTTTATTTTCCCTTCCTTGTTTATCTTTTTTTTTCGTTTTCTGAGCTTTTCACTTTGTGCTTAAATTCGTTAATTTGTCTTTCTCAGTAAATTGTCAGTTCTACTCCTGCAATGGTTAGCTAACTGGGATGTCAAATGTTAAAAAGCAAAAAACAAAGGAATATAAGAAAATGGAGAAGAAATGTGAGAAAGGAGGAAGGAAGGGAGGAAAGAAGAAATAAAATTTCCTCTCAACGCTCTCAATATTCCTTTATTGGCTTCTTGAATCTTGTGTAGCTGCTGCAAAGTCAGACATTGATCTGAGTCTCTTTCTTCTAGACAATCTGTTTATTAATTGTTAAAAGTTTTAAAATTATTTCCCCCTTTATCTGGATGTTGTGAAATAACACTACACTGTTCTAGATGTGCTGTTCTTATTCACTCAGCACTTGTAATACTCTAATATCTGAGGACTCCTGCCTTCCCTCAGTTCTGGGAAATTTCATTCTGTTGTTTATTTAAATATTAGCTCTTTCCCATTCTGTTTATTCTTCTTCTAAAACTCGTGCTAAATAGATGGCAGAAAATCTAGGTTTATCCTCATTTGCTCTTAATGTTTCTTTTAGACCGTCCATCTCTTTGTCCCATTATGCTTCATGCTAAGTAACTTCTTGATGTGCTCTTCTAGCTCATGAATTTGCTCTTTTGTTTTGCCTAGTCTACTAACCAGCTCATTTACTCATGTCTTTAAATTAAATTTTCCATTTTTATATTCAAAATCTCTCACTTTTAAAATAATGGCCTATGTTTGTTTCTTGCATGTGATATTCTCTCTGCCCTCTGAGTATATTAATTATGCCTGTTTTGTTACCAATTAAATTTGATTTGAGAGTTTGAATTTGTTTTCTCTGCCGTGATGTTGGTTTTCATTCACATGTGCTTATTTTTGACCCTGTGCTCATCTTTAACGGGTATTTCCTATTAAATTATCTGCTGTAGATTTGCAACTTTCCTGGGGGAAGAGGCAGGAAGTTTTTCTGTAGCTTGCACTGTGACCTGTTTTGAAAGAGAATGAAGTTTATAGATGAGGGAGATAATTGGACAGCGATTCTTTTTGGTATGGCTGCTCCACAGTACTCACAAGCTTACACCTTCCACGTTTTTCTTTTGAGAACAATTAGTCTTATGATTGTTGCTTTATCTGAATTGATGAGGGGAGATTCAAAAAGGTTGAACGTCTGCTGAAATTTCAGGGGGTTTTTTGGTCTATCAAATTATGTTGTTTCATGACCTTGAGCTCTTGTCTATTTCTAGCATTTATCACTTTGACCATGGAACACCCTTGATGTCATTTCTTCATACATTTTAGCATATGGTCTCCTTCATGCTTATTCCATCTTCTTTGTGTCTTTTAGGGGTTCCTCAAAGTTTTTGCTTTGCTGCTCACTTGTGGGCATTGTTATGTGTGGGAGGGTATATATTTTAATGAGTCTTCCATCACTTCAGAGGATTTGGTATGAAAATAGAGTTGTGCATATGATTAGTGCATCTTGAATCAAAAGTCTGTTTCATTATTCTCAGATTTCCAAACCTCATTTTTATTTTTCTTTGTGAATATAATGAGAGTTGTTCTATAATTGCTTTATCCATCAGTAGCCCTGGCATGTGGAGCATCTGGATAATGCAGGAGTCTATCTACAGTTCTGCAAGTTCTGGCTTTGAGGATCCATTTACTACCAATATTTTGTTTATAAGAGAAGAATATTAAAATTTCACCTTATCTGTTTTTCTTCTTATCCATAGAGCTTCAATTCAAATAACTAAGAGATTGAATCAGATTGTTTTTGGGCACAATATATTTACTATTGCTCTATGATTCAAAGCTCACCAACCCTCTCTTGTTTATAGCTGCACTGTTGATTCACTTAATTTAGAATGGAACACCCAGTAGACCAATCACCCAGCAACAAAATATTAAAGAGTACTTACTGAGCAGAAGTGGGACAGCTCTCACGAATCTCCCAGGACATTACATCAGTCTCAGTGGAGAACTGTTTACTTAGCAACTTTATGTCCATTTACCATTCATTAATTGCGATAGTACCTAATAGATTATTCTTTCTGGATTCTAAGACAAAACAAAGCAAATATATATGTACGGATATACAGTAACAAGAAAAAATCATTTTCTATATCATATTAGAATTTTTGAATCAATCAAAATATTTCCAAATATAAAGTATGACCATATATGACAAGTGTGAGTTCTAAATTTCTCTGCTCATATGTATCATATTTCCTAGTTATTGCTGCCAAAATGTTTTCATGTAAATGAAGGAATCAATTACATAAACAGTAGATATTTCTGAGCTCCTACAATGTGCAAGACATTTTAGGGGACACAAAGATAAACAGCACAAATTATCCTCAAGTTGTGAAAAGGTAGCTGTGGGAGAACAACATAGACAGGACTATTTTAATAGCATTATAAAGCATAAAAATTGGTAAAGTGGTCAAAATAGCACATGAAAAGTTTCTAAAAAGAGCACAACAGGACACAAGTCATAACAGTTAAGAGAAAGGGTTTGATCACTGAACTTTAATTAGTCTGGACATTTCCTGGAGGAGACTTGAGCTGAGCTGTATCTCAACGGACACATCAAAATATAGAAGACAGAGAAGCACACTCTAGGTAGAAGTTATCTCTCAAGGTAACTTGGTTGTTGGAACCACCAGGCCTATTTGATAATGAAGGAGTGGGCCAGCCTAGATGGACTCCATGGCTTATAATGGGAAATAGTAGGACATGAGATGGAAAGGAGAATTTGGGGTCTGACAGCAGAGGAACTTAAATGCTAGACTAAGTATGACTCAATTTTGTAAGTTGATGATATGATTAACTGTATGGGGCAGGAATGTAACTTCTTAACCAGACCAGACAAGTTTAGAAGAAACAGTATGAGTATATTTAAGTAAGTAGATATTTGGCATCTGGGAGGGTCCAGAATTCATTGTCTGTTCAACATCATCTCAGGCATGTACTGGCTTCTGTGGATATACTGATTAGTAAGATAGCCAATGATCTCATGGAACATACACTTAAGAATTAATACTATGAAGAAGATCCACTCTCACCATTGCGGGTGGGCATTATCCACTCTGTTGAGGGTCTGAATAGAACAAAAAGATGGAGGAAGGGTGAATTTGCTCTTACTTGAGCTGCGATATCCATCTTATGTCCATGGACATCAGTGTTCCTTGTTCTTAGGCCTTTGGACTCAGACTGGGACTTACACCATTGGCTCCCTTTGTCCTCAGGCCTTCAGACTCCCACTGAATCATACTACAGGCTTTCCTGGGTCTCCAGCTTATAAACAGCAGATCAAGCTTTCTTGACCTGCATAGCTGCATGAGCCAATTCCTATAATAAATCTCTTTTTTATATCTGTATATCTATAGCAATGCTATACCTATATCTATATCTCTGTGTCTATATCTATATCTATCCTCTTGGTTCTGTTTCTCTGGAGAACCCTGACTTATACAGTGGCACATGAGAGAGGGAAACAGTAGTAGGAGGTGAGGTTGAGGGACAAAAGCAAGGCAGCAGATCACGTAGAACCTTTTATAATCCTTGAGAGGAGGCCAGGTTAAATTTAAAATACAACAGAATATTGAAAGGTTTCATGCAGGGCAGGGCAGGGCAATAACATGAACTGGATTATAATAGGCCAAGGCCAGTGGTAAGAACCATTAAGAGGTTATTGCAGTAAGAGATGTTGATGAATTGGATTGAGGAGATAATAATGGAGATGGAGAGAAGCTAAGGATATTGAGATACATTTTTGCAGTTAGAAGCAGCAAGATTTCATGATGAATTAGATGTAGGGAGTGATTGGAAGCAGAATAAGCATTTTTGTTTGAGCAATCAAATGGTGGTGTAAAACTGAGAGGGAGATGAAGAGTTCATTTTGTGATTTGTAAAATGTGACATACCTGTGAAATTGTAGCTAGACAGTTTGTTACCCCGGCCCCTGGCCCCATAAGACATTAACCACAAACCTGCTCAGAACAAGCCTAACATGTTCTCTTTAACTTACAGGAAACAACAATGAGAGGAAGGAGGAGACGGCTGAGACATCCAGTTGAAACCAGTTAAAACTGGTTGAAGGCAAATGGCAGTCTAACCTGACCTGACATAGACCCTGCAGCTCATTATACGCTTGTTGTGGTATATTACCCTGCTACATAACACACCCACTAGCGCCTTGACAGTTCACAATTGCCATGGCAATGGCAGGATATGACTAAATAAGGAAAGGAAAGAAAAGAGGTGGCACCCCTGTACCTCCTAAAAGTCTGCCCTGTTCCCCAAATACTATGAATAATCCTCCCTTTCCTTACCTCAAGCTCTTGTAACAGCTGCTTACTCACCCCAAGAGCATAGAAGTTGATTCATGAACACAGTTCCCACTTCATTCTTTGGCCATTGAGTAAAAGCTTGTGCCGGTGAATGCTCAGCTTCAGTTTCATTTCAAATCCATGACACCGAACAGAAAAGAACCCTCTGAGGAAGGGATGGATTGTGGATATGAGGCCCACCCATGGGCCCCTCCTTGGAGCTCTTCTGAATGCGGGTCTGAGTCCCACCAGAGTGAGGAGAAATTGCTAACAAGTTGAGTATGTGAAGTTGGATCTCAGAGATTTCTGGGCTATTTCTTCTGACTCCTTGGGAGTCTTCTCGTTTCCCCATGCTTTAATTTTAAGTTTTCCCATATCTTTTCTTTGGCCTTCTTCACTTCTTACTTGACAGATTCTCTCTGGCTAATGACATTCGCTCCTGGGTTTCATCTTTCACCTGTTTGCTAATGACATTCACTTCTTTATCTTTAATTCGGTCTTCTCCCCTGAATATATAGGTCTATATATTCAATTTCCTAGTTGGCTTTTTCTTGTGTATATTTCAAATGTACCCCAAACTCCATATAGCTGATAAAGGCACAGCCACCCATTGAGAAATCTGAGACTATTCTGCACCTCATCTTTGTTTTCACTCCCCAAATACAATCAATAGCCTAGTCCTGTTGAATGATGTTTTTAATCTTCTTGAGTATTTATAAAAATATGCTTTACTTGGAGTTAGTTTAGTCCTAGAGTCTGAGATGGAGCTGGACCTAAAGGTGGGTGTTAAATGGTCTCCTCTGTGAAGGTCCATAGGACAGAAAGCCAAGCATGTTGTGAGGCTAGGTGATGAAGAGCAGGGAAGTGTCAGGATTCAAGCACTATGTTAGGGTAATTGTTCTGGCAGCTGTGAGCTAGACAGATGGGAGGAAGGAGAGACTAGAAGCAGAGAAATTTCAGAATGGGAACTGTGACACCAAGTTGTTTCCTAAGAAATTATAAAATGAAATCGCACAAAATCAAAGGTGCTAATATGTTTTCCTTTTCAAAGGAGTTTTTAAAAAAATTTTGATGAAGTCTCACTGAAGAATCAGTTCAAAGGGGATGAGAGATGGAAAGACTACCCTCAGCTGGCAGAACTTGGATCCCTTAGTGCTGTTCCCTGAAGTTTAATGTCCTGTCTCATTTGAAACATCTGTCATGAGAAAATTTCTTATGACTCCAGAAAATTAATCTTCTTAATGTGAAATGTATTGTTATAATCTATGTTACTTAAGGTGTGATGTGACTCTCTCCCACACATAAACACAATCTCTCACACCCTTAATCATCATTTATTCTTAGCACATTTGTTTGTTAGAATTTGATTACCAGGACATTTTCAAAATCATGTATTTGACATTAGAAAATGTCTTGTAGAATACTGTGACCCTAGCATATTTATCTGTGTGGCTTGTCACAGTTGATGGGAGGAGTGTAGTGCTTAGTATAAACCAGATGTCTCTTTCTGGATATCTATCATCTGTATCCATTGAATAATGGTTTCAAATGGAGATCATGAGCAATCTTAAAGAGGAAAATTAGTCAAAAAAGGACAACCATTCCAACAAGAGTGCTAAGGCTGAGAAACCCATGGAGTGGTACCTCTGCGAAGGATTTTGACTTGGTATGCCTGTGAACCCCAATGAGCAATGACACAGAGAGCTGCTTTCTTTTTACTGGGCATCCCTCTGAGATACTGCCCTATTGAGTTACTCTAAGGATTAGTTGGTGTCATTTGCCTACTTCATAGAATGGATTGAAATCCAGTAGAAAGCCAAATAGTTAGTGAGGACTTAGTAAATTTTCCTGTTGGTAGAAATTGTGATATATCAAATGAAGGCTGAGAAGTTTGGTGTGTTAAATAAACATTCCAGATAACTGGCACTTCTACAATGCTGTGTATGTCTTATAGAAGATAGCTACCCCTTTAATAGATTAAGAAAATTGTAAGCAGGGGAGTATAGAGAGTAGGTAGAAAAGAGTAGCTTTTTATAAGTTCAATACATGATGGATTGTCCACTAATTCTCTTCAAGTTGACTCCTTTAATACTTGTTATTGGTAGATACTAAAGCCACTCAATTCCCCTTTGGAACATCAAAAATTGGCCAAAGAAGAGAAGTCTGTCACTCAAAAGCCCCTGATAAGACTCTAAATCCATCTCTTTATCTCTCCCTCCCTCCTTCCTAGATAACTCTGAATCAACATGTCATAATTTCAGCTGAAACTCCTGCTTTGGCTGGTGGTCTCCTCGTGTGCCATCATCACACATCATTTTACCCCCCTCGCTGTCTGTATCATTTCAATTAAAATGGCCACTATGTGATATAGCAGAGCCTACGCGCAAGGTAATCCTATATTTAAATATCACTGGCCCTGAATTTCCTTTTATAATTCCTGTGCTACAGGGACTCTGATCACCAGAGCAAAGCGTGGCAGCTACCATAAATAATACCTGCTCAGCATATCTATCTATTTATTTCTAATTCTTTATTATGGGAATTTTTCAACATGTGCAAAAGTAGAAAGAATGATATAATGAATCTCATACACCTGTCAATCAGCTTCAACAATCATCAATATGTAACCAACCCTGTTTCTATTTATGTTTTGAATTTCTTGTTTTGGTCTCCTATCTTTTGACGTTTTCCTTTTAAATATGTACTACTAGTTGATATCATAGTCACATCTACTTTTCTTCTCTTATGCTCAATTAATGAGTAAATTGCTTATTGAGAGCTTACAGTTTGATATATGTATTTTTTTCCCCTGAGGATTTGTGAAGCAGAATGTTCTTCTGCAAGTTTCTGCATAAACACCTTTCTAATCATCATTCTCTCATTCATTCACTCTGTCACTCATTTATTTGCTCATTCAGTATTAAAGATCCCCTTGTACACTGAACGTTCAAAGACAAAAACCACTGTCTCAAAGTAGTTCCCAAGTTAAAGGGGAGACAAATGTTTAATGAGGTATTTTTTGCAGACGAGATAAGAGATATTTGGCTGCAAAGCCAAGATTATGATCCCCTTCTCTTGGCTGTGCCTTACGAGGAACAGTGTCATTATTTGGCTTTCCTATTTATAATAAGGGCTTGATGCAGTTCAAATCTATGTCTTTATCGTGGTAACAATAATAGAATTAACAAATACACTGCAAGTCTTTAACTCTGAGATTTTTGCTGATAAAAACTCCCATGCCACAGTACTAAGCACAAGGTTATAAACATAGTTAGCATTCATAAAGCATTTTTAAGTGACCCACATATTGAATGAATACATTTATAGAGTAGAATAGTGAAATGTTTTTAAAGTGTTTATATTTCCTTTTGAAATAAATTTCAAGTAGTAGAATTGTATTTAGATATGATCTCTCCAGTAGAGGGATTCTTAGTCTCAACAGTGGGAACTCAGAAAACTGATATTAACCATCTATTCAAATCCTATCTTTTTCTACCTGAAAATTAAAAGAAAGAAAGAAGGTCCAATGACAATAGTTTGCTTCTTATAGTTCATATACGATAGAACTAGAACCTATTTATATGATTTCTTGACTAGTGTTCTTTCTTTATACCACACTGGAAAAACTCATAATTTGATCTGGTTATAAATGCTAAAACAAAATGACTATAATAACTGAATAAAAACTGTATACTTTCATAAAGGCTTTCTGCAGTTGGGCTCCAATTATACCATGGCATTCTGAAAACATGATCTAAATAATTATTCCATATGACAGAATCTAAAATGTTCTTACCTTGATGTTCCATATACCACTAGTTCTGTTTTTGAGCAGGGATTGGCTCAATTATTATTAATTCCTAAAAATATATGCGTTTGTTGAAATATTGTCATCTTGTCCTTAGCTGCAGCACTGTAGTCATAGTGATTGGCCTAATAAAAAGAAAAAAATAAAAGTAGTTATAACCTCAAGGAAGGTTTAGGTATGGTTAAATAACAAAGGGGCAGATATAATCATAATTTTCTCTCTTGGCAGGATTAACAATGATGGAGCCACGGTCCATTTGCTCCTGAAAGAGTGTTAACGCCAGAGACACGGGCATTGTGCCTCCATCTAATGTTAGCCTTCAAGAAGTTTGAGTAGGCCTTCCTATTTAGGGGTTTGTCTGTGAGTTTGTCCCATAACTAATTTCTTTGCTCCTTGTTTTTGCCCCCCTAGACGGAGATTTGACCACAGAAGAACCACAGACCTCATGAAAAGCCATTTCTCCTTGGAAGTCTCTGTATCAGTGTCAACTTGTGAGTAGCACCCCCAAATAAAGACTGTTTTACATTTTTTAATAATTATCTCCAGGGCCTCAAAACTTTCTGTCCACTGCTCCCTACCTTAATCTCTTGCACAATCCACTTTTACATACAGAAAAACTCAAACCCAGTGATATAACAAATGCCGTCTCAACCAAACTGCCTTCCACATAGTGAGTCATGCCTGGCTTTCTAAGTTCTCGCTCACATTACAGACCTGACTTCAGTGCTGGTCAGTAAGAATCTTTTCCTCAACTCTCATTTGGACCTTCTCCTCAGTTCCCAGTAGACACCCTGCACAATCAAGGCTGCTCTGAGGATACTGCCACACACACACACACACACACACACACACACACACACATGGCCTACACCCCACACAGGAGTTACTTTGTTATTTTTTCTGTTTTACATCTCGGGTTCTTAAATGATATATTTCTTGAGCGCAGAGACCATGTACATTTGTTGTAATACCCCTGAGATCACATATATGTGATAATGTCAATGATAAATACCAAGTGGAACAGCTTCTCTGAGCCAGGCAGATTTATTGAATGCTTTTATATATATCCTTTCATTTAATCTTCACAACAATTCTGGGAGCATCTTCAGTCATCTGCTAGTACTCCTTAAAGATCAGCTGATTGACTTACTGACTGAACTCAAAAAAGACTCTAATGAGACCATCCCCCACCATCATTAACTGAGTGCCTATGGTCTGTTGGATACCTTGTTAAACATTTCATGTACACCACTCCATTTCAAGTTCATGTCAACCTTGTAAGAAATTCTCATCTCCATTTGACATTTGAGGAAACTGAGATACAGACAGCTTAAGAAAAGGATGCACGGTCATGCCAACAGCAAAGTCAAAGCCAGGATCCAAACTCAAGTCTTGCTGACTCCAAAGCCAGTGCTCCTTTACCCACACAATGCTGTTTGTTAAGATCAGAGGGCACTTTCTCTTTTGCCTATCATTAAATAGTTAAACGTCTAATCACTATATCCAACTTCGGCATGCTCTGTATTCACATGTAAATGAGTAATTATTCACTTGGACTTGGACTGAGCTGTGCTCTTGTTTATGATAGCCCCCTATCTAGAATGTCCTTTCTTCTGTCTATTGTACATCCAAGGCATTCACCTTTGACCTGGCTCTTGACTTGAAAACATTTCTTAATTCTTCCCAACTGCAATGATTTTTTCCTTTGAGACCTCAGTAATAGCCATTACTGTCACTTCCTTACACATATGTGCTTAATGACACACCTCACTATATCACTTAATCATTTTAATATGAATTTATCATACCTTCCCAGAGAGACTTATTAATTCCTGGACAGTGAGTATTGTGCACCATATATTTTTTGTATATTCTCGGTTATGGCAATAAATGGGTCTTCGTTGGAAAACTTTCCATTAAATTCGAAAATTTAGACAAATGTATGAATGGTCAGAGCTGTTTCAGTTCCTAAGAGAAACGAGGCTCATGGTGAAGATTGGGTTGAGTTTGGACAGGAAAAACATGCACATTTAGAGGCTTGTCTGTTGTGTCTGTTGTTTGTGACAGACTCCTGGGTGATTTGAACCTGTCCAAGAGTCATGCATTTGTTAGGGGAAATCTAAGAAAACATAAGAACTTTAAGTGTTTAAAATAAGAAGATTTAGGGGCCAGCCCTGTGGCCAAGTGGTTAAGTTCACGTGCTCCGCTGCAGGCAGCCCAGTGTTTCGTAGGTTCGAATCCTGGGCGTGGACATGGCACCGCTCATCAAGCCGTGCTGAGGCAGCATCCCATATGCCACAACTAGAAGGACCAACAAGTAAGAATATACAACTATGTACCGGGGGCTTTGGGGAGAAAAAGGGAAAAAACATAAAATCTTTAAAAAAAAAAGATTTAATACAGGGGCCTCGTTATACAGGTTACATAAGCACAGAGAAAGCAACAGGGAGCAATGAAGCAAGCAGAGATTAGTAACAGCAGGAAAGGGTTACCAGAGCCTGAGGGAGGATGTCAGGTAAAGGAAGGTGGAATCCTGATCAGTCTTCTTGGTGGGAAATGAGCTGGAGCTGTGGAGGAGAAACACTCTCTGCCAGAGATGCTGCAGGAGGGGGAGGGGAGTACAAGAGGCATTTTTCTTCCTTCTCTTCTCCACTGAGAACCTTCCATTGTGGGAACCAAGCCAATAGCAACTCTGCTGGACCTAGGAAATACAGCCTGCAGGGGGCAGCACCTCTGTGAGTGAAATGGAGCAGGAAGAGAGTGAGAATGGGTCTCAGAGCTGCACTTGTGGTGCTTAGCTGAATGCCTATGGATTGAAGTGAAAGGAGTACTTAGGAAACAACCTGATCACATCAAAGGGCTATCAGACTGAAGAGGGGGCCATCAGAAGCTTCTCTTGTAACATACCTCATAATACTCAAGGCTAATTTTTGTATTTTATACATGCTGTTGGAAACTGCTGTCCTAGAATTAGTAATTGTGCTCATGGTACAGTGGGGAACAAGGCATTCATGTGATTTAATGATAGAGAACAGGCCTCTGGCATCATTTTTTGGTATAACAGTAATGATTTCATTTTACTCCTCTAGTTATTTCTGTGAAATCCCTTTCTTGAGTGGCATTTGGAGACTCTCTTTTGACATAAATGGATATCAGGCTTTTGTAGCAAAATCTGACTTTATCTTTGGCTGTGTGAAATGACAGAGCAGGCTGGTCACGCACAAAGTTGTAAATGGGAAACAGCATGGCTGCCATCCCACCTGAGGCCTTTCTTTGTCTAGCAGGGAACTGAGGACCAGGGAGATGAAACAATTTGCCTAAAGTCACTGTAAAACCTGTGAGGCCTTTAGGCCACCTACTTTTTGACCATGGGAATGTTTCCTAGCCTCTTGAATTTCAATTTCCTTATTTATGTGAGAATAATAAAGGTACCTACATCACAGAGTTCTCACAAGAATTAACTGAGTTAATCTATATCAGAGGTCGGTAAACTTTTTCTGTAGAGGGCCAGATAGTAAATATTTCAGGCTTTGTGGGCCATGTGTTCTCTGTTGCAACTATTCACTTCTGCCACGATAGAGGAAAAGCAGCCGTATGTAAGCAGTGAGTTCGGCTGTGCTCCAATAAAACTTTTTACAAAGAGGAATGGCCAGCCCATAGACCGTAGTTTTCTATCCCTTGTTCAATATAATTTGATATAATGCTTGATACAGAGTAAGGGTTTAAAAATTTTACCTAGAATTATTATTATTATCATTATTATTCTTATTTTTAGTCTATGAATAAAAGAAATCAGTCATATATTTAGTTTTTAAAAAATTAAGCTTTCGCTGGTTTCCCTAAGGCTCTATCCTGAGATTTCCTTAGCACCACTTGCAAGGTAACTCCCCCCGTGTCTGAACTGTCCCTCTCCTGGACACTGTGAAGCATTCTGGGGGAGGCAGATAGGAATCTTCCTGGAAATGATGTGCCGTGTAACAGATTTGGAGGCTCTGCAAATTCCTAGGGACAGATCTCAACACTTCAGCTCCTGCTCAAGATCAGAGGTGCTGAATGTGTAAAATGAGACTGTTGTTTTCTCCTCTCATCCAAACAGCACCATAACATGGTGCAGCCAGTGTGGAGAAAGGCCAACCCAGATCTGTCAGCGAGGAGCCAGAGCAGCAGTATAGAAGCCTGTGGGCAGGATCGATGTAGAGATCTCACTCTCCTGAGACCCAAATATGGGACAGATTTTTAAAAAGTGTGGGCAATGGCAAAAATATGTGAGGGTAATGTCTGAATTATCCTTTAGGACAAATGGAATTTTCTGTAGCATCTATTTCATGATACAGCATTTCTGTTGTACAACTATTACAATAAAAAATTAATAGGATATATAAGGAAGAGATGAAAGTCTGGCTCTAGCGAGAAGAATTTAGGTCATGGGGATTCTTGAAAAGCTAAAGTTACAGCAAGCAGTAAACCTATTCTCATTTCAGGCTCTGAACAGGTCTTCTTGGTCCTGTGGTTTGACTTGTTCCTCTGTGTTCTTAGGACAATAGTAATTGCTGATGAGACCCCGAAAATCACAGCCAGCTCCATAATAATGTCCATAAAATGACTACAACATTGAAGACAGCAATGAGTAAATCTGTGACTTTTGTCTGCTGCCACACTTCAACCAAGGACAGTTAAAGAAGAAAATGAGGAAATCCTCTCTCTGGAATTTAGCACCTCAAAACTTTGGGAGGCAATTAATGGACATTAAATCATAAAACAATATTTTTTTGAGAATAAAACTCAAGTCAATTTGTAATGCTGCTTGAAAATTCTTGGAGTAATGGGAAAAGGCTCTGCTTGCTACACAGTTTTAGGAAAGAAAGCATTGCTCATATTGAATGGCTCTTGTCATATAAAACCTAGGCCCTTTTTTGCTCATTCAGAAATGTGCTACCCAAAAGGGAACACTTATGTTGTAGTGTTTATATTGTGTTTAATTTTGACATATTGAATAAAGTTTATAAAAACACATTTAAAAATGTTTGCTTTTAGTCTATTGCTGTCATCTGTTTTAGTATTTTTATGTTATAAACTAGGTTTCTAGAAATAATGCTCAATTTATAGCCTGGATCCTATAGTAGAAGAGTTGGCAAACATTTGTAAAGGGCTGGATAGTAAATTTTTTAGATATTGCAAGTCATACAGTCTCTGTCACAACTACTCAACTCCGCCTTTGAGGAAGACAGTAGCCATAAGCAATACGTAAATGAATGGACATGCACTGTGTTCCAGTAAAACTTTATTTATGAAAACAAACTTTGGGCTGAATATGGCCTGTAGGCTGAAGTTTACTCCCCTCCTCTACAGTTGTTAAAAATTTATCACCTTAAGAGGACTCATGTAGTATCTGTTGTCTAGAAGCCAGATAGTCAAGTAAAAAATAACTGCATTAAATATAGATATTCTAGAAGGAGGGCAGAATTTACTAATGCATCAATGAGCGATATTATACACGTCTATTCCTAATGATAAATTATGAGGAAAGAGGATGTTTCTTAGAATTAGACATGTTGTGACTTAAAGAGAATTAGAATCACAAATTATAAAGCTTTGGGATCTGAATTGCATGGCAGTGCAAGATTTTTGTATTCTTTCCACATTATTTTACTTCTAGCCTTCCTTTGGTAATCTTTCAGCAGTGTGCCCACTCTCCCTCCACCTCTCCCACAAAGGTTTGTGAATGATAATCACACTGAAGCCAGCCACTTTCACATGCTGTGATAACTTGTTCCTGGAGGACTTAAATACATCCTGTGTGACTCCACTGGGAGAGGACTCTCAGAAGCTTATACCTGACTTCCTCCAGACTTTTCCCCAATGTGCCATTTCTCTTTGTTGATTTTGTTTGCCTATTTTCATTGTTAAATCTTCTCCATCAGTATGATTGTATGCCGAGTCATAGGAGTCCTTCTAGGAAGTCACTGACCCTGGGGGTAGTCTTGGGGAACCCCAACACACCATCTCACCTTGGTCTGCCATTTTTTTAATGTATGAGACTGAAGTAGAGAAAGGTCTTGCCGTAGAATATAATCCTCCCTAGGAAGGTAATTTATGCTCAGGGCCGTGGAAAAATTAATTTCTACAGGAAGTAAACACCTCAGTGCTCTCCCAATACATTACTTTTGGAGTCTTTTTGGCTGAAATATATCAACTGTCATTGGTTCCATTAAAAACAATATTTTATAGAAAATCAGTGCCTGGTATATATCAGGATCTCAGATAAATATTTGTTGAATGAATGAATTATGATCACCCTAGCCTTTGGGTCATTTGTATGTTTTCCACACTAACATTTTGGTTTCTAGAAGGTCACTTCAGGGTAACTGATGGCAGCTCTATGCATTTTTTGTTAGAAGTATGCATTTTGATAAACACAGTAGCAAAATCTCCCAGAACCAAAACCGGCTGGGCACATTTTAAAGTAAACACTGCAAACTCATTTTGACATTTCTTTTCTGGTATGGTAGTTATCATTCTTTCCAGTCTTCAAGTTTATGTGTCCACAGCATTTTCACTTCACAACCATCAGCCCTTTTTCACGATGATGCCTGTGACACATGTCAGTTCAAATAAATGAATGTTTCCATGTCCACTTGCTCATTCACTCACATGTTTATTCAGCACAGGCAGAGAACCAGGCGAGGTACCACATGCTATGCTAGATACTGAAGATTCAAAGACAAAAAGCTCATTCTCTTTATTTAGTTAGGCAGAAAACATTTAAATAGATCATTACATACTGCTATAGCAAACTTATTTGCAACTAGCTTAGGACCCTAAGACTGAGTAGTTGACCTTGGTGGAATCTTTCCAGTTGAGATCAAAGAGCAAGTTAGGTTTAAAAATTCAAATGCAAAAAGGAAAAGCATTTCAAAGGAAATAGCATTTACAAAGGTCCAGAGTCTTGAGCAAGGGTGACACATTCAGGGAAAAGTTAGTGGCTGCCTTGTAGTTTACAAAGATCATTCTAGCAGAATTGGGAGAGTGGATTACAAAGGGTAGAGTCTGGAGGCAAGAAGACCAATGAAAATTGGAAAGATATTCAAAAGGAGAGATTATGGAGACCTGAACTAAAGCAGTGGCCATGGAAACAGAGAGGAGGAGGAAAAATAAGAGAGCTGTTTTGAAGTGGGCCCCAGATTGATCGACTGACTGGATGTAATGTAAGGGAGAAGGAGCAACCACTGATGATTCACGCAAGTTGTCGTGAGATGTTTTTCTCAAGGAGAAGAAGTGAGTTGAAAGAAAAATGACAGGCTCATTTTTGGCCAAGTTGAGTTTGAGATATGGTCAAGCAACCAGGTAAGACTGTCCCGTAGGCCCTGGGCAGTGACTGACTTGGCAGTGGAAGTGGCAGGCACCACACATAGTGTTAAATGTTTTCCTTTGCCTTCTTGTTTAATTCTCTGAAGAACTTTACAAGATGGGGAATATTATATCTGTTTTTCAACCAAGATGATTGAGGTTCAGGGCAATTTAAGTAAATTACCCAATGTTGCAAAGGAAGTAAGTGGTGGTCCCAGGATTTTAATCCATATCACCTTGACTTCATTCTGTCTTATTCACTCTCCCATGCTGCCTCATCTTTTTGGTGGGAATGAAAAATTTCTTATTAATATGTGGGCTGATCCACCTGATTGGACATATATTTAATATCATTATATTTTTGTACCAGAAAGCATTAAGCAGTTGTAAACCTTTTTTTCCTTCTTATTTTTCATGGCATTGCCTGTGGTCTACACATAATATCCTGTGTGACGTAAACGTGCTTAAGGCAGAAGTGGTTTAAATGCAAGTGAAAATGCGGAAATAAAAAAGAAGATAGAGGAGGAAATAAACGTAAGATTTTTTCAGCTTTTTTTTGTGATGTTATAACAATACACATAAAATCGTCCCGCCTCTGGACAGTGGCTGGGGAGTGAGAGGGCTCTCTGTATGCGCGTTTTTCCAGTCCTCCCAGGTTATAAGATCAACTATTAGCTGAATATTTGTGAATCTACTGGAGAAGATATTCAGGGATTCTGTAATGTTTTATGTTTATTTCTTGATCTTTGCAGGCTTAAGGGAACATATTGTGAAAACAGGGAGGATAGGGAAATGCAACTAACATCACTCAACATAAAATATACAGCACTCTACCTCCACTGTGGGCATCGGTGGCCTTGCTAATTGCAGGGCAGTTAGATATACGTTTTTCTCTCCTTTTGAATTTAGATTGTGCTATTCCTGAGAACAGATGATTCTCTTGGGATGGCTTTTTGTACATGTGCCTGTATATGTGAGGATGTATTCCAACAATTATTTGCTGGATGCTTACAGAAACAATAAAGTCAATTCATATTGATAAGAACTCCTCAAAGAAGACTCGACTTAGCACACCAAAATCCACACTAGACTGTTTAGCTGGAGCCTCCACAGTACTTCTTCTCTGCTCTATCCTCAAACGATGCTTTTGTAATATATTAAATAAATCAGATTTTGGAAATGCACCCATGAGTACTAGTCTGATTACTGAGTACTTCTAAGAGAAGAGAGGTGGTCCCTGGAGTGAAACTATCTCCCACGGGGAGGTTTGTGGGGTTTGACACCGTGGAGAGTTTATGGTGCTCTCAGAGCAGGTGTGGAAAGTGGAGGGGCCAAGGTTTCTGCGCAGTTGGGTCTCATCATGGCAATCTGGTTGGAAGTGGACCTGTCTTAAAGTTGTGTCTGCGTCTCATACATGATAAGGAAGCTAATTTCATTAAGACTGTGTGTATAATTAGAATAACTTAATAAGAGGAGTACATGGAGATCAACCCCACTTCTGCTTGCATGTGTCCACACACACACACACAGCCGCTGTGTGCAACTTAGCATGGTCTTCAGGATGGGGGAAACATTAGAAACTGTGATGCATCTGTGGATGGACCCTCTAAAAAGAAAAATATATTCAGTCTTTTTCCCTTGGACTATAAGGAAAATCATAGGTATCGTATTTCCCTCGAAATTCTTTAACTTATTCCTTGCTCTCTTTAAGTTTCTCCAATTATTCAGTAAAATCTGGAATATCTTGATATCAGATTTTTGTGGTGGTAGCATAGATAGAAGTGAGAAGTGGTGATATAAAGAGAAATCAGCAGGGTGACCATACATTTGTTTTCCAAGTAAGGACCCTTTTATAGAGAAAGGAAGTACAATTAATAAATATGCCAACACAACTGGCAAAAACCAGATTGTCTCAGGCAAACCAGCATGTATGCTCATCCTGAAAATGAGGCCTTCCTCTTTGGGATGCCAGCCCTGCAGAGGACTCTGTCTCCTTGTAGCATTGCATGGAAGGGTGCTGAGTCTGTGAGTTCTAGGCTGCGAGCAACAGTAAAGAAAGTGAAGAAAGCTGTGGCTGAGTAGAGAGCAATGGCAGGAATTTGGAATCATGATGGTCAATCCTGACCCCTCCTCCCATCGCCTTTCCCTCATCTTTCCCAGATATACTGAACGTGTCATAGAGTATTTGTCTTTCTATGTCTGACCAGTTAACTTAGCATAATGCCCTCTAGGTCCCTTCATGTTGTACATGGCAGGATTTTCTTCTGTTCTATGGCTGAATATTATTCCATTGTGTATGTGTGTGTATATGTATGTGTGTGTGTGTTGTGCATGTCTATATCTATATATACAGATGTGTATAGACATATATATATATATATCTTTATCCACTCACGTGTTGGTGGATACTTAGGTTGTTTCCATGTCTTGGCTAAATAATGCTACAGTGAACATGGGGTTGTAGATATCTCTTTGAGATAGTGATTTCATCTTCTTTGGATGAATACCCAGAAGAAGGATTGCTGGATCACATGGTAGTTCTATTTTTAATTTTTGGAGGACCCACCCTACTGTTTTCTATAGCAGCTAT